TATGCCTATGTCCTGAATATTCTTGAATTCATTTCTGTGCAGCCTCCTTATGCAGTTCATGAACCAGTTTCAACTCTTGCCATTATCATGTTTCCAAGTAGTATGCCTGTTTCAATGACAGACTTATATCCAATAGAGTCCCCAGAGGTAACATGTCTTTTGAAGTTTAACAATAATAGCATCTTTGAGCCGTGGTGTGAGATATTTGTTGTTTGCTTCCCCCGCTCATCATAGATTGCCTTGGGAACATCTGAGGGCTTGAAGAAATTAGCCTTCGCTCATGTGTAATACATGAGACGCCATTGGAGGCAGTGTTCTCTCAGGCTACGCACCTGTGCTCAAGGAAAACAAGCATTCATTATAGGAATGCAATTTCAGAAGGCAGATCATACCAGGTCAGCAGAAGGGGCCCATAGATGTAATAAGAGAGAGTGTGTGTATTTTTTTTTAAGAGACAGCTTGTCACCCTGGTGTAGTGTAGTGGCAGGACCATAGCTCACTGCAGCCTCAGACTCCTGCCTCAGCCTCCTGAGTAGCTAGGACTATAGACATGCATCACCACATCAGGCTAGGAGCCTTACAAAAGCTGTATTTCACAGAGACGTATGCCTAAAGGGACCCTTTAAGGTACACTTACCAGGGAAAAGGGAGAAAACCAGGCCCATTGTATAGAAGTAGTTGATACATGCATTCAGTAAAAAGTCAAGCTGAAACCCAGAGTCCTCTTTGCACCTCTCTAGGGATCACCTATGTTCTCCTCTGCTGACCTCTGCCATCTTTTTAGTCAAGCTAGAAAAACAAAGTTGCCCTTGAAGCATTGCCCTCTTCTTCACATAGTCTAGTTGATGTATTTATAAATGTACTTTGGAATGACTTTCAAACCACATGGTTTTCTACTTGTATAGATTTAGGTCCACTGAAGTCATTGGTTTATTAAAATTCAACTTAGTTGTTTAATGCTAAGACTCATGAAGATGGAAAAAGATAGCAGCAAAGTAAACTGTGTCTGCAGTGTGGTTGTGTTAATACAGGATGTGTCCGTTCTCAGATTCTTAAAGTTTCCAGTTAGATACAATGCAAGAAAAAGTGTGTCTGCAGCACAGGACAGAAGCATACTCTGATGGCTGCAGTTTGCAAAGGGGAAGATCTCAAAGTACACTTTGGACAGCAGGCAACTCCTGCTCTCCAATGGAGACAGTGAGCCTCTGCCTGAACTTCCCTTATCTATAACTCATAGATGGCTTTCAGTCCTCGTCGTTCCAGAGAAGTTCCTGATCTCTTGGCTTGGGGAGCTAGATATAAGTATTTCTTTGCAGATAGTAAGTTAAGCAGCTTAGATTGTATAGTATTTTTGTCTGACTGGTTTTTGAAATGAATGCTCTGCAAGGTAAGTGCAGCATCCAGAACTGGGGAGCATTCTATTAGGTACTCCTGATTCTATTTTCTTTTTCTCGACCTAAAAAGAGGGAAAAATAAAAGTTTTTTTACTTTTATTTTTTAAAAATCAACCTTTCTGTCAGCATTTATAATACTCAACATTTATCTTAATTAATCATAATGCTTGCTTGTCTGCTGTCTTTTTGGGCTTGTATATAAAATAAAAACTTTCTCTACCATTTATTAATAAAACCTCTTGGGTAACTTCCAAGATGCTTCCATCATATAAAATCCCATGCTATCTATCTTTGGAGCTATTTTTTGACTGAATTCCATATGAATTAAGTAGAAGTACACTAAAAATAAACTACATGTTATTATGCTAAAGCTGTGTCCCAAGAAAACAATTCTGTAATGAATTTCTCACTCAACCTAATGGTTCCATGTCCAAAAAAGGGATGATCCTTTAAGCAGTACATTAAAGTATCATTTCTTAACAATGGTGAGGGCATTAGCTTTACAAAATTCAATAGTATATTCTTTGTCATATTGATCAAGTCAGAATATGAGGTCTAAAATCATAAATGGAGAGGAATGCAATCCTTCTACCTGGATACTCTGCATATGATCCTTTCCCATGTCTGCCACTGCATTATTTCAGTTGCCAAATCCTGCCCACCCCAAGTTTATGACATTTCCTATGCCAGTCCACCAATCAACAGCCCTGAGTCTTCTATCCAGACTAGCTTTCTTCATGTCTCTTCCAATTCATCATCCTATCACACTCCTCTGACTGACTCCAGGTTTGAAGGTGATTTTTGGAGTCAATCATTGTAGATTCATACTATGACTTCCTTCTTAATGGATTTTTGTTTAGCATTTTATGTACTAGAAAGGCATTGTATTATCTATTTTAAAGATAAAAAAGTTTAAATACTCCACTGGTACAGGCTGATTTTTTATTATGTTTCTTTCTTTAGTCTGAAACTTCCCCATAAACTTCTCCATTATTCATTCAAGATAAAAAAAACAAATGGCAAACAATAATACTTAGTAGATGTCTGCACTGACATCTACCAGACATTGACATTGGTCAAACAAGACATAACTTTGTAATCAAGAGACTATTGAAAAAAGACAATTTAAGCCAGGCACGGTGGCTCATGCCTGTAATCCTAACACTTTGGGAGGCCAAGGCAGGTGAATAGCTTGAGCCCAAGAATGCAAGACCAGCCTGAGCAACATAGCAAAACCCTGTCTCTTCAAAAAATACAAAAATTAGTCAGGCATGGTGGCAGGTGCCTGTAGTCCCAGCTACTTGGGAAGCTGAGGTGGGAGAATCACGTGACTCTGGAAGGTTGATGCTGCAGTAAGCAGTGATTGTGCCGCTGCATCCAGCCTGGATGACAGCAATGAAACCCTGCCTCAAGAAAAAAAAAAAAAAAGACAATTTAATCAATGATTATATCAGATTAGTATAACATATATCAGTATTACAATGATTAAATAAGTACTATAGTAATAACAAAAACGAGAATGAAGCTAATGTAAATTGAATGTTTACAGCAAGATAGGAACTATGAAAAGTGTTCTACATGCCTTCTATTATCTAATCTTTATAACCACCCTATACTAGGTGTGCTTTACTGGTAAGGAAGCTTGGACCTGGAAAGGTTAAGAAATGTGTCCAGAATTGCAGCTGGAAGGTGGCAGAGCTGAGATTTGAAGCCAGCTTGGTGGTTAGAATGCAGTGATAACTATAAAGTGCTCATTCGTCGTCTCTGTACCTCCATATGCTGCAGCAGAGGCAGGTTCACACCTAAGACCCTTTGCTTGAAACTAGAGATGTATGGGCAGAGAAAGTAATTAATAAAATATTTGAAATGATGTTAATGTTAGGAACAGACCAATTTCGTTCACCGAAGTTTCAGGTAAAGAGTTAAGCTCCTGAATATGGAATTTAGGCAGCAATTTTGGGTGTAAAGAGGTTGTCTGAGATCATACACAATTGTACTGTTAGTGGTCTTCTTTTTCTACCATTTTATTTTACAAATTTGTGAATCCAAGAATAAGGCACATTTATTTTCATTGGGAAAAATGAATTAATTATGTCAAGTTAATTAAGTGAAGCTGTTACAAGCTGAGTCGAATACATAAATCCATCTGAAGTGGGCTTATCATATAGTTTCAATGTGGAAAATAAAGGAATTGAGGGACAGGGTGTGGAGTGCCCTAGAAAGAAAATCAGAAAAGCATCTTTAGTCTTAGCTCCCTTGCTTCTGCAAAAAGAAAGAAAGAAAAAAACACTGTGGCAGGGACGTTTAGCCTCAGGGATACCTTTTTTATGAGCCATTTTCAAAACTCCCCTTCCTATTATTGAACTTACATTTATGATAGCCTTGTAACTTACTTCATAGAATCTCCAGGTCATTTTCCTGTGTTCCTTTCTTCCAACTTCCAATTAATTTTTGTCTTTTTAGCAGTTTTTAGTTCTTTCAGTATTAGCATTAAAAAAGGACAACAAAATTGATCCTTTTCTCCCCATGAACGCAGGATGTGGTCAAGACTGGGATGTTAGCTATTGACTCAAATGAGATTTGTTATGCTGTAAGTGTATTGTGTTGTTTTTGTCTCTCTGTACCGTTCAGCCACTGAGACAATTAAATCCTCAATGGTAGGGATCAAAATATTTTTCATTTCTCTTTTCCCCAGTACATAGTTCAATGTCTGATAATAGAGAAGGCATATAAGAAACTATTCATTTAGTGAAGGAATGAATGAATGAAACACTCGAGATGGCAATATTCATATTGTTACGGAACTCTTTCCCCAGTAACTACTGAAGTAACTATTTCCAGTGTAACTATTCAAGAAGGTCCAGAAGTCATAATTTTCAGAAAACATATGTAAATTCTTGGGACTTGTATAAACTAGTATTTTATCTCCCTTCCCCACTCCAAACTCTATGAATTGCCAAGCAAGTAGATTAGGAAGCAGAATGCAGCCCTGTTTGGTTTTGTTTATAGATTAATGGGGCAGGAATGGAATGTTAGATACTATTTCTTTGTGTACAAGGATAATCTAATCTTGCGAAGATACTTACCAAAGTCAATAACAATTCCTGCTAGGCAGACAAATAGTGTCTGAAGTGGATTAAGGTGAAACCAGAGTGCCCTGATGCAGCTGTCAGTGAGGAGTTTGTTGTTTATGGCTTTGTTACACCCTGCAGGGGATATCTATATTTCCACTATTTTTAATGAAGCCACAAACAACCAACTTTTTATTGAGAGATACTGGAGATTTTTTTACTTTTACCTTGATGCATTTTAATTTGTGCTTAATTAACTAGTTCTCCCACTATACCAGATCCTCAGATTGGCACTTTAGAGATGATTAGCTAAGTGTTCCTCTGTGTTACCCACAGGTCTAGGAAAAATAAGGGAAATCAATAAGACTGAGCCAGATTAGGATGAGAAAATTCATTCTCCATCAAGGGTATTGGCCGGCTCATCACACTGCCTATTCCGAGGGGAAGCAGCCCTGCTCACGTCTCTCTCTGCCTCATTAATGTGTCAGTGGTTCTGCCCTGGCTGCCAAATGACTTTACTGTTGTGTTTTTTTAGTTTTCAGGACTTTATCTCCTGTCTTTCTTCACCATCCTCATCGGGCTGGTGCTCTATTCCTCCACCTCCACCTACATAGCCCAGGACCCCCGGGTGTATAAGCAGTTCCGCAATCCTTCAGGACCTGTTGTGGACTTACCAACCACAGCTCAGGTGGAACCCTCAGTCACCTACACCAGCCTGGGCCAGGAGACTGAAGAGGAGCCTCATGTTCGTGTGGCCTAGAATGAGGCCCGCCCTGCCCACCAAGGCCAACTCATTGGCCATGTTTTTGCCCATCATTTCTGTATTGTACATAGAGAAAGGTATTTACTAGGTGCAGTTTACACAGGTGGACTGCAAGGTAGCAAATCCTCCGAAAGTTTGTGAAAGGAACAAGCTCAACATCACTGGAGACTCAGGCTCCAACCCACCTGACTTGGAGAGATGCCTAGCTAATGTGTATCCTGATCACAATTCCCCTGCATTCATTACTGTGAACATTTTTGAATCAAAAGCAAGTATTATTGTTATTATTATTTGTATTATTATTGTTACTGTTATTACACCAACTTGCAGGAGGATGTTTGGTACTTCTGATGGAAACTATTGCCAGACCCACATGTAATCAACATAAATCCCACTTTTCTATGGCAATTCACTTTTTTTTTTTTTTTTTTTTTTTTTGAGACGGAGTTTCGCTCTTGTTACCCAGGCTGGAGTGCAATGGCGCAATCTCGGCTCACCGCAACCTCCGCCTCCTGGGCTCAGGCAATTCTCCTGCCTCAGCCTCCTGAGTAGCTAGGATTACAGGCACGTGCCACCATGCCCAGCTAGTTTTTTTTTTTTTTTTTTTGTATTTTTAGTAGAGACGGGGTTTCGCCATGTTGACCAGGATGGTCTCGATCTCTCGACCTCGTGATCCACCCGCCTCGGCCTCCCAAAGTGCTGGGATTACAGGCTTGAGCCACCGCGCCCGGCCCCGGCAATTCACTTTTTAAGAGTCATACTTTATTTTTTGCACAGACTATATGAGTGATGCATGCCACAGGAGCTCCACCCTTGAGAAGTTTCCTCAACCTAGGGACCTGGTGGCTAATGGTTTTCCCTGTTACCTGTTGGATTGCCTGCTTAATAAGTATTTTGTGCTATGACCCTTGTGGGGAGGGGCAACTGACCATATAATTCTCTATTCTAGGAATAGATATAAAACAAACATTTTAGCCTTTTTATATTTCAATCTCTGATTACTCCAGGCCATTGCCTTTCTGTTGTGCCACGTGATTCTGCTAATCAAGTCCCTGTAATAACAGGATAAGGACTGTTCTACTTATGTGACTTTTGGGAGCCCCCAAAGATAATATGATTTGTGTTTGGGCAATATATAATTTTCAAATCTTTCTGCCCCTCCCTGTAATCTCTCTTCACAAACTATCTTTTATTTTTTTTTTCTAGATTTCCTTAGTGATAATGTGGAAATGAATCAAGGCACAGGAAAAAGCCATGGTCCTCTACCCTTTTTATTTTTTTTCTAAATTTCCTTAGTGATAATATGGAAATGAATCAAGGCACAGGAAGAAGCCATGGTCCTCTGCCCTTTTTATTTTTTTTCTAGATTCCCTTAGTGAGAATATGGAAATGAATCAAGGCACTGGAAAAAGCCATGGTCCTCTGCTCTTTTTATTTTTTTTCTAAACTTCCTTAGTGATAATATGGAAATTAATCAAGGCACTGAAAAAAGCCATGGTCCTCTGGCCTTTTAATTGTGTGACACCCTTTTTGAAATACACCAGCATGAAAATTACCTTTGTTGTGGAAAATCATTGGTTGTGCCACCTCCTAAAAAAGTCAAGGTGCTGATGTGGAGCAGTCTTTGAAAATGGCTTAATTGATCTGGCCGCTTTGCAGTGGTAACGATGTCACCATTGAAAAAGTCTGGCGTTTTTGTCATATTTGATATTCAGTAGCAGAGTACATTGACATGACATTCTTATGGATACAGAGAATATTGCAGGATCCTGATAAGACTTTGAGTGATATGTCACTAGTCTAATCTGTTGCCCTTAAAATAGCCCTTTTTTCAAACACAGGAAATTAAGACACACCACAGACCTCTATTATTTAGAATAGATTCTATGTGTCAGTATGTGATGTACTCTTTTAGTTCGGCTGACTTCAATAGCATTCAAAAAGATCCTCAATGGAGTGACAGGGTTTATAGGGGGAAAATACATGTTTAGGAGACATCGGGCAATTCAAGTCAATGTATATTGCACAAGCAAGCAAAGCAAAACACCACCGGGGTATCTGGAAAGTAAAAAGACAGTCTACAGTAGAAGGACTGATCCCCAGAGTGCCTGTACAAGGCCTAAATCTGGCAGGCAAAAGCATCCAACGCTGTCTGTCAGCGCCCACACTGCCTTTTTGCCTGCCTTCTACACGGGGTGAGTGGACCTACCCTTGGAGATGGAGAAGAAAAATTATCTTCTCTGATCCTCAGATGTGATAGTCATCTCAGTTCAGCCCCCTAGGAAATGTGTTTTATTTTCCACCGGGGAAAATACTAATTTTAAAGCTCTATCAACAAAACAACTTTGCCAATATCTTCTCTCTGCTACCTTTTAAACCAATTAAATACCTTTCTCTGAATATTTTGTCCATTCAGATCCGAAGACCTTTAAAGACTGTGGTTTTATTTTTGTGTTTACATTCCTTTGGTTTGCATAATTTGATTTATTGCATTTTTAGTATTTATTTTAAGCCAGATGTTTTCGTCTTTGATTCATTTTTATGACATTAATTTGTAGACACTTAGTAAAGTCTTATGAGAAGCAAGTGGATGAAATTATTTTCAAGTCCACTCAATAGACTGGATTTTTTTTAAAATACAAATTTCCAAAAAGTTTGCAATCAACAGATGGCTAAAGGTTGCCACCTGAATTATTTTATAGGATATTTTAATTGACTCCATTGTATGAAAACCAAGTGTGAATGTTAAGATGAATTTACTGTATACCCTTTATCATTCAGTGTCCTTGTACTCAAGACTTTCATGTCCCTGAGTGACCTCAATGTGTTGGTTTGTTTCCATTTAGAAAGGTTGATAATATATTGAATTGTTCAAGATCAGGAGTTTCCAGACTGACCCTTCAAGAAAAAAAGTTGCAAAGAACAAATTCTTTTTATGTGTAAAAAACATTGATCCTTTGGGAATGGGGTGGGAAATGGGATTAGGACATTAACTTTAGCTGTTTTAGTTTCTGAGATTTCATAACCTCAGTAGACACCAGCAAAAATTTCAGTTGTTCAGTCCACCACCAATCTCTCCTCAATGAATAAGACGTTAGCAATTTGTATAGATTTTGATCAGGTAAGAGCAAACCACAATTCTCCTAAACCCTGCTAGAGATTAAGTGGTGGTTCTCACTTCCTCAATGAAAACTTCACTGGGGACAGAGCTTGCCTTGGTCAGACCTTCCCACAGCTTCAGACTCAAATACATGACCAGGTAGATCAAGCAATGGAAAAAATTTGCACCACCGTGTCCCATGAAATTGTTTCAATGTTTAGTTTAGATATTGCTAACTTGTGCTATTAACCTTTTGACAAGCGTGTAGTATTGTTTATTTTCAGTTTCTTTTTGATTTATAACCATTTAGTAGTCCCCAGCTAGCTACCAGTACAGATTTTACCCCATGGGTAGGATTCTATTGTTAAGCCACATAACAAAGCACACTAATTCTGACAACACTGCAAATGGAAAATATAAACCAAAAAAAAAAAAATTTACACCGATAAGTTCAACAAACTGTCCATTTTTGATATTTGCATGCTCCCCTATGGACTGGCTGTGGCAATGTAATGCCTGTATAATGTTTTCAAATAAAAATAAATGCTTTATGAAAGCACTGAAGTCTTGGTTTCCTTATGTGTTTGCACTATGACAACCATGGAAGCAGCTTCCTTGGGATGCTAGAAATAGCAACAAAAGTAGATGGCTGGGTACATGTCAAAATAAAAATTAGAAAGAAAATATTTCCAAATTAGGAAGGGCACAGTTGGTCTCAGAACTATAGTTTCAAAAGCCAAACTAAACATGTTCATAGTTTGTAAAGTTAATTGTTTATCTTGGTATATAAGAATGCTCTGGGGCTTCAAACCCACATTTAAAACACATGTAAGACAATATAAATTTACCCCCAATAAGCAGTTTCTCATAAAAAAGAAAGTTTTGTGTATGCTGACCTTGGCACACAAGATTTAATGGATGAACATTCTTCCAGAGTGCAACATTTATAAAGCAGAGGCTGCTCGTATTTCTGCTCAGAACTTACACAGCATCTTATAATCATCCCTCCTACACTAACTGCTGTCACTTTGCAACCCCCTAAGTACCTAGATTGTAAATACATTTACATGTTCATGTCAATTTTTGCAATCAGACCTCAAAAATTAAATGAGCCAAGAAGACTGTGTGTCTGAGTTATATATTAAGAATAATTTTTAAAGAAAAACATTCATTTTTCAGGGAAAAAAATGAATTGTAGCACACTAAGTGCTTTATAAAGTGCTCTCAGGTTGAGATCCATCATGAGCTGCTTTTATAAATAGAATAGCATGTACTTAATATAAATAATTTGCTTGAAAAATGTGACTCTCAGTCTAAATAAGTTTTTCCTTGAAAAAATGTAAATGTGTTGTTTACTTCCATTTAGCCCTTTGATCAAAGATGAAATAAACTTGTACTTCAGCCCAGTCTATGTCCAAATGTCCAGTAATTCCAGCTGATTGGGGCTTAGATCGTATATACAATAAATGTATGTCATGTTTCCCTATGAATTAAGATTTGTTTTCTTCAGAGAAAGAACTGGGTTTCCTAAAGAACTTGAAAGTCCTTGCAATGCTAAGATAAGGAAGCACTTGAGTGATTCTTGTGACTTTTAGCATGAGAGAAAAATAGAAACAAGTAAAATTCAGCAGGAAGGCTGTAATGTATTATAGTCTTGATGTCCCACAAGAAAACAAATCTTAATGTCTAAAATAACAGCAGCTAAAATTAGGTCCAGTTTATTTTTCAGTGCCCAGCAAACCATCTTGCACATGGAAGGCACTAATACATCTTGTTTTAAGGAAATCAAACTTATAAACTATAAATACAAAGTACAAGCGTAAGCTATTCTATTACAAAACATTCCTTCCTTCTTTTTTTTCTGTAAAATTCCTGTGTCTTGGAAAGGAAGAAATCACCATGTCCACTTAAATGCACCCTTCTAGGGAACATTTTACAATCACAATATTTGGCCCTTCAAATTCAGGCCTGAAGTATAAAATGACAAAGCAAATTTTTGCTTTATTTTCTCCTGCAAATACTATTTTGAATTTACAATAGTCCTTCTTAGTTATGTACACTATTTCTTTTTTCCTTCTTTTCCTTTTTTTCTTGATTTCTTCTCCCTTTCTTTCTTCTTTCTTTTTCTTTCTTTTTCTTTCTTTCTTCTTTCTTCTGCAAGCATAAAGAGAGGGTTATGAGCCACCTAGGCAGGGTCCTTTCATTCTCCATTTGGTTAAAAAAAAGAAAGAAAAAACGTTTAATTAAAAAAAATTGTAATACAGCTGGAAAGCCCTTCCCCTACCAGATGGCCTTTCATCAGTGCCTGA